ACGAAAGTTATAAGCTTGTGAGATGGAGCTAAGAGTGCTAAGTATTGACCCTAGTGTACTAAAGTCGTGTCGTCTGAAGTAACTTGTTGACAGTCTCTTCAGTTTTCTGCCATCCTTTGGCTTTATGAATGACTTTCTATGTGGGGAAAACTTTAGTGTTTGAAATGGGATGACAGCATCTAAGCATGTGTTTGAGTTATAGTAAAAGATGTCTAGAGCCTTCGAGAGGCTATCAGTATAGAAGTACTCTCTCCATTCTGAGGATCTTAGCATTGATTTCACTAGAGTCCAGTCTGCCTTACTGTAGTTCCTGTAAGTTATTTGTTGTAAAGTAGGCGTAGGGGCTGCATTGCTACTTGGTGGAAGTGGCAGTGCACACAGCACTGTTTTGTGGTTGCTTCCTGAAAATTCAGAACCTACTAGGGTAGAAAGGGGACCTATATTGTGGCAGAAGGTTAAGTCTAGTACGTTATTACCTCTTGTAGGGGTAGTGACAGTGTGTTTTCAGCCAAGTATATCCAGTGTGCCTAAGAACTTATAAAATTTAGTTGGGCCTGTGGGTATATCCCAGTTGATTTCTGGTAAGTTAAAGTCTCCACATAGGATCTTATGATCGTAGCGTAAGGTGGATAATAGCTCCAGAGTATTAATAAGTTGGGTCTCGTAATTACTTAAGGTGCCAGGTGCTCTGTAGGTGCATCCAATTAATACTGTTGCGTTATTTAAGTGTAAGTTAACTCATGAAGTCACAGATATTTTAGGTGTACTACTTTCTAGCTGTGGTACAGTAATTGCATTCAGAAAGTACATGAGACAACCCCCTCCCTTACCACCTTCCCTGTCACACCGAAAGTGTGTGTAGTTATCTAAGCTTGTCTCTTCATCCGGTTTGTTCGAATTACACCAAGATTCAGTGATGACAATTATAGGGGGTTTGTATATTGCTGTGAGTGCTCTGAGCATCGGTAGTTTATTTAGAACAGATCTAGCATTTATGAGGATTAGGTAAAGATGAGATTTGAAATAGCATCTGAAGTATTTAAGTTCGTTAATCAGCCCCGAATATGGTTCAGCACCCAGTAGTACTGTTTTCGGAGAAGAATTAAGCGTTGGAGTACTGGATTTGCTATAGGCTAAGGCATTTTTATTTTTAGTTAAGCCAGAAACGTGGGTAGGGATCTTTATTTGACCTAAACTTGTGCATGTATCAAGTGTGCTTGATGGATGCGGGTGAACTAGACTGTTCCTATATTCATGCAAAGGGGGAGCCAGCACTAGCGGTTTAGGAGTTTTAACATCCTTGCCAGCCGTTTTTTCAACGCTGACGAGGACGCAGGGGATAAAAATGATTGGGACCTTGTGAAGACCATGATTTATTATTCCACCTATTGTTTGGTACCAGTTGTGTCCTTGTATGGGTTCCGTGTGTACTGCTTTGTGGGTTAGTTCCCAGCAGACTTGTACCATATATCCGATCAAAATTTATTTGTTCCATACTGTGAATGCCCTGAGTTGTTGGTGGTCGAGTTCTGACTATTGCCACTTGTACTATTGGGGGTGGCATTGTTGTGACGTTGGTTATCAGTGTGTGCCATGGTGCTATTTCGCACGTTGTGGGTGCCAATACTATTGACCGTGGGGAATGTGGGCTTATTTATACTGCCATTGTTGTTGTGGCATGAATTCGGGTCATATTCTCCTTATTTTTACCAATGGACTTATGGCTAGGAGAGGACAGGGTCGACTTTCGGGGGATTTTGACATTTTTTCCGGGATTATTTGGTGACATGTCTATATCTACGGTGATAGGTGGTATAGTTTTATTGGCTATTTGATTACAAATTAGTGGCCTTTCTGTTGGTGTCGCTCTCTGAGAGGATAATTCTGTGTGGTTTGAGAGGGATGGCGCGGTGAATTCTAAGGTATCTCTCAAAGGGTTGGGTGAAATGGCTGCTTGCAATGGCCTATTGTTTATTCCACAATTAGACTCAGTGAGATAATTATATACGCGCCTTTCTATGACTGTCTTGTCCACCACAATCTTTATTAGTTTGTAATTTCTGGCTTGAGATAGGGTGTGTTGGGAGTGGATGAATTTTCTGGCCTCTGCCGGTGTTTCGAACTGAAAACGAATAGGGCAACACTTTTCATGTTGACTCTTCTTCAGCCTGTAGCACTTAGTCTTGGAGTTGGGCATTTTCGCCTCACTAAGTAAGATGTGCTGTACCCTATTCAGTGCCTCACTGTCCGGAACGTTGTAGACAATTGCACTCAGTTTAGCGTCGAGTTGTTTCGTTACTTCTGTAGTAACAAAGTTAATGAGTTTATCTACCTTGGTTACCGATTCTGCATCAAGTTTGTTAAGGTCTACAGTTTTCATCAGAATAGTTAAAGGTGTCAGTTCACAGACCTGCGATCTGATATCGCTGATCTCGTCTGATAATTTGGATATCTTGGTATTGTTTTCCGAATTTCCACCATTTACTGACTTATTGTTTTTTATTTCTCTTAAATAGGCCTTAAGTTCTCCTATAGACAACTTTAGAAGTTCTATTTCTGAAGATAGTACTAAAACAGAGCTTGATGGCTGGAGTTTTTCGATAAGCACATAAGGTGTAGGGAGGGGTTTTGTACGACAAGAAGGTACTGAATTTTTAGGAGTAGTGCTAATACTAGCTGTCAGGACAGTTTTATCCTCAGTTCCAGCTCGACGCTTACGACATACAAGTGAGTTATGTGGCTCACTATAACCATCTGTAGGGAGTGTGTTGCTTGATGTAGCAATCAACAACTTAAAATTAGTCATCAGGTTTACAGGGGATTGAGTTCGTTGCTTTTTACTTTGATTAACCATAACTATTTGATATGAGAGTTAATGGTTATAGGTATGGAGGTAGTATAGAACTTGTGTAAGGATTACAACAAGATAAATTTTTTGTAACGAATTACGCAAAACTTTAACGCAATTTTTGGACGTACGTCGAAACATTTTCCGTGTACTCTTGTACCCGGCAACCTTTGATGTTATGGGGACATATTAATGGAGTGCCCTCTGAAAATATTCTTAGATACTGGTGCGTCCGTCTCTCTCGTAAAGGCTTCCTTCCTTCGACGCTTGCCCCAGTACTTACCCCCAGTAACCACTGACAATGTCGTGACGACGGTTAACGGTGCTAGACTAGAAGCTCGATCTGCTACCGATCTACAGCTGCGCCTTGGAGACCCAAATGCGCGCCATCAGTTTCTTATCTATGTCCAGATTACATGGGAACTTATCCTAGAGGTAGACTTCCTGACGTCACACCACACTCCTATACATATCACCCATTCTCGAGTCACAATTGATTTCGTCACTATATCCTTATATAGCCCTCAGCAACCGATGTCTTCTGCGTCAAAGTCATCAGTGTCTACCATCCTAAATCAAATTTCGGTTGATCCATCCGCTCCTGCTCCCTTTCGAGGGCGAATGCTGGAATTAATTGATGAATACGCCAATGTGTTTGATGATGCGGGTAATCTGGGACGCACGGGTGTTATTCAGCACCGTATCGATACAGGCAGCCATCCGCCTGTGCGTCAACCACTCTGACGGATCCTCGTGCATTGCCAGCCTCAGCGCCACACCCTGATACAAGATATGTTGGAAAAAAGATCATTGTACCTTCATCCTCCCCGTGAGCGTTACCCATCGTCTTAGTCAAGAAGAAGGATGGCTCCCTTCGAATGTGTATTGACTATCGTAAACTGAATGCTGTAACCAGACGGGACGCTTTCCCGGATCCACGTATCGATGCAACTCCTGAAGCACTTGCTGGCTCACCGTACTTCTCCACATTAGATCTAGAGTCAGGCTACTGGCAAGTAGAGGTGCACCCGACGATTGCCCGAAGACGGCCTCTATCCTACTGAGTGGCCTCTACGAATTCTGAAAAATGCGCTTCGGACAGTGCAGTGCCCCGCCACATTCCAACGCTTGATGCAAATAGTCCCTGACAGGTTAGTTCCACACAAGTGTCTCATCTATCTTGACGACATTATTGTATACGGGAGGTCACCAGAGGATCATATGGATAACCTACGGTTTGTTCTTACCAGGTTCAGAACAAATGGCTTAAAGTTGAAACCGGCTAAATGTTCATTCTTAGAGAGGGCAGTCACATTTTTGGGCCACCGAATTTCACCAGATGGTATCCAAACAGACCCAGAGAAAACGCGTCTCATCTCAAAATGGCCTACACCACAGCCCCATAAAGACGTCCGAAGCTTCCTAAGGTTGGCTTCGTACTACCGACGTTTCGTCCCCGAGTTCGCCACCCTAGCCTCGCCTCTGCATCGCCTGACAGAAAACAGCCGTAATTTCCTATGGGCCAACGAATGCTTTGAGGGATTTTGAATTCGATGAATTTCACAGGCGCTATGACATCATTAACAGGCTGCATATTGTCACAGAAATTTTTAAGAACTTGCTCTAAGGAATCATTAGTAAAGTAGGAATGCCAATTAGAATATCTAATCAAGTCCTGATACAGGTACCAATCAACATGTGTGTATAGTCTCATAGGTGTCCGACTAACTTCGTTTTTGTGTATAATTTGTGGAGAAATTTTAAACGAACACGCTACTATTTTATGATCCCTACCTGGGAATTCACGTCACACATGAATCGTAGATGGTGCTACGTTGATCGTGAATAGAAGATCAGTAATATTAATAATAATAATAATAGTATATTCTCATTTTGTACACGAGGGACGCCAGTATACAGGCATCATCAATAAAAGGAGTACTGGACAGCTGCTATTTCATCCCAGTTTCGGAATCATCGGCAGTACGAACCCACTGGGATTCGAACCCAGGACCTTCCGGTTACAAGGCAAGCTGGCTCGTATACCATTCAGCCACTGGGACCCTTAGCGGACCTAGTGGGTACATTTATATGTTGCGTTCATCCTCCTGTGATGATGAAATTAAGAAGATTATCATACCTCGACGGTCCTCGAAGTGTGCGCCATGATATATCAGGCATATTGAATTCACCTTCAATTACATTAGAGGTGAAGGGAAGATTGGAAGCAACATTACATATGTTGCTGAGTACGTTATCGTATTCGCGGTCAGATGATGGCGGTCGGCATACACAACCTATAAGGATAGGTTTACTTCTGAAAACTTTTATTTCGACTCACACCAAGTCATTAAGTTGTGACAGAATAGGGTGACTAAAATGCGTCGCACAAGTGGATTGTTTAACGTATTTAAGTGTTCCACCCCACGATCTCTTTCTCTATCCCCTCGAAAAAGACTGTACCTATCAATCCGAAAGCTATCATCCGTAATATCACTAGAGCAACAGGCTTCAGTGATCATGATGAATGACGGATTGCATATAGAGGCTAACGTACATAATGCTAAGTGTTTGTTAAGAACTGATCTAGCATTTATGAGGATGACGGGTAGACCTTGACTACGTGGTTTAGTGCATGGACGATATCGTAGTGAAATACTTTATGATTATCGCCTGAACACGTGCAGTCGTTATCGGACTCATTACTTACTACCTTTTGATCACTGGAGACGTTTTCTTCAAGCTGATACTTAGGGATGGGTTGTGAAAAGTCACTCGTGCGTAGTTGGTCGTTTAGATATTGCGTGCTATTAGAGATACTAGTATGAAAATCTGGATTATTACTGTTGGTATTAGGTGTGTATGAGGTGTTTGCTATCTGCCGGGGAAGAAGCAGTTTCCCTGTTGTAAGCTCTTCGCCATGCCAGCAATGAATTGGTCTGATATCAAGTTATTTTTCATTATTCGCGTAAGTCTCTGAAGAATTTCGGTTATTCATTCTCCTCAAACTGAGCACAATAAGACAGTGTAATAGATTTATTCTTATTTGCCTTAGAATTTTTACTGCCATTTATTAGTCTCAAACGAAACTCTAAGTATCGTCTCATCAGCTGTTTTGATGACTAAAGCTTTCTGTGTAACACATTAGGAGAATGATGTCAAAACACTGAACCCTCAGACCACTGAAGGTGCTCTTGCCACTCACACTTTGGGGTAGTGGAATCATTCAAAGTGAAGTGTTGTTTGGAGACCTCGGGACTACAGGTGTGACCACTGTTGTGAGATTTGAACTGGATATTACAGTCTTCCCACAAGTCGTACATTTGCTCCTTGTATTCTGCTAAATGATGGTGGAATATACACAACGATAAAAACGAAACTTATACGACTACATTTCGATGGTAAAATACCAAGATATATCACCTGCTAAAATTTCATTTTGAGTTTCTCATTCTGTACATGAGGCCTCCATATTATATCGGTGTATAAATAATGAACGCGACAACGCTATCAGCAATTATTTATCTGCCCACAAATGACTTATTTTGGTGAGCGATTGCACCACGAATATCCAATTCACTGGGTTTCTAACGTTTTTGCTTGGTCTTTCTACATCAAGAAAAAATATATTGTTACTCTTTCCTCGAGTGGATTTTCACCCTCTCTATCTGTGCGATATTGGGTTTGCACTAAATAACGACTTTTTAAAAAGATGGTGGAGATCACCGTTAATCATCTTGAGCATTTTTCCATTTCTTTGTTCGACAGAAGCTGTTATGAACGGAATACCCAACTACTAATTCTGAAAATTGCCGAACTATTGGTTTGAACTCTTGCTTCGGTGTTTCAGAGGTAGAATGCCCTTTGGAAAATCATGCGGTCGAGATGTCAATCACAGGCCAATACATCCTTAAACCTTGCTTGCACTCAAGTGTTGCGCGCGACGTCAGCAATCTCACCCAATGCTACTGGAACACTAAAGCTCAAAGATTTTACATAGAAAGTTTCTTGAATCACGGAAAACGTTTTCGGAAGATAAATCATGGAGAAAATGCTTTGCCCTAATCGTTTCTTCCACAGCAACATATCAATTAGTAGAATCTACAGTGATCCACTTTATTCTTAAATATTTTGGTAGTATTCACGATCATACCTACATATTGTCAGGATTTAAAGCATTTTTTACGTTTTAACGGTACTAAAAGTTGAATCTGAAGACTAAAACCTCAAATTAGCACATGTACTATTGCGTAGGGGATTTGTTTTAAATGGCTGAATGTGTTTACAGTATTTAGGAGAAAATTTGAAGTGGAGTTCTTTTCCTCATTTGTTGATTATTTGAATTTTACATAGAATAACAACGTATGGTCTGGCTGATCAGAAGGAAAGATGGAGTCTCACCAATATTTCCGCTCCGGGGTTGTTTCTGTCTGGATAATCGTCTGGGATGCTTTATTTCAACCATAACTACTGCAGTAATAGATCATTTGACTTGCTGTGATTTTTGTTAGGTCACTTCAGCCATCTCTTGGATTTTTGTGATTATGGACTTAATATCATGGGCGATTCCGGATTTTATTATAGACCCACAATTTCCTACTTACTGGCGCATCCGCTTTTGGAAAGGTTTGTGTCTGTAGGATAAACTTATTAAACAAATTTAGGTTTTATATTATGTGACATTGTCATGTTTTTCTCGAACTTGATTCTTTTAATCATGTCTGTCATCGTGATTGTTGCTATATCTTGGCCGACTAGATATGTAATCCCGTTCTGCTAACCATTTAAATTTTTAGAGGCTTTATCACTTAAAGTCATATCTTCGGGCTTGGTGTGTAATTATGCTACTTTACCAAATTACTAACCTTGGAGTCGGTGTTTATACATATTCGTGGTATGGATTAGCTGCGTGGGTACGTATATTTACTAATTTTGTTCAGAGAAGATTTTAGCGTGCACCGTACTTAATTTTCAGCGTGATGTACTTCATTGTGTGTTACGTTATCTACGTGAGTTGGGGTTTTTTACCCGGCAGTTTGTGTCGTGCTTATTTGCCCCAATCGGTGTTGTCAAAGGTTGTTGTACACTCAGTGTACTCAGATAGTATTTTGATGTGTAATAAAACTATGCTATGCATTTTTTTTATAATTTCAGCTTTGGTGTTGGATAAACTGTTGGTCGTATAAAGTGGAGATCGACATTACCCTCAAATCTGAGGAAGACGATGTAGTGGTTTATGTTTACTCTCAAGTAGATGAACACAGTTCGAGAACAGGAGTTTCTTCGTCTTTTTTCACGTAGAATATATTTCATTCTAACTTAATAGACTGAAGACAATCAACCTTTGTTTCTCTTATTTTAGGTTGGCTTTTTAATCATTGGATATTCATATTATTCCGAAATTAGATTAACGCTGTTTGGGGAAGGCGACCCTGAAGTTTTGCAAGAGATCAACTTTCTAGGTGGAGCTGCGAGTTCATTGTCACCACAGAACTACATATTTCCACAAAACCAGAAACACTAATATGATGTTTCATGTATAGGTCAATCTTCTTATATAATATTATTATTAATCCACTACTCACTTTAAAAAAAGTACCTTTGATATGTATTTTATGACGTCGATTATCTGATTTATGATTTTGCCTGGACGTTATTTTCTAACTTCGTGGGTATTTTCAGGTAACTTTTTATTGTTACTTTATTGTGTTGCAATGTACTATAAATGGTTATTCAAGAGACGTGTATTTCTACTGATTTTACTTACACAGCCTTATGTAGTACGAAAGTAATATACTGTCTATTTGTGAAACAAAGTAAGGTAGGATTTTAGTCAGTCTAAAGAAAACTGCACATTTACTTACAGTTTTCTTTAGGAAATTCACTTTCCAAAGGAATTTTCAGGTGTGTATAATTTTGTGAATCATAATGCTGCATATAAAGTATAGTATACAACATTCTGAAATCGGTTTTAAAAGGAATTCTAGGTGGTAATCAAGTAGATCTTTTACCCAAGGAGTGACCATTCTACCTCTTCAGAGTGAAAATAACCACCTTATTCGAGAGAAACACAAGGGATATTCAGTCACTTCCAGTATGAAAATCATTTTTCACCTTTGAAATACATATTACTTTCTTAAGTTTATTAAAATCACCTGTATGCAGGTTTTTGTAGAAGTAAACAGTTGCGACTGGTGGAAGGACTTAAATTGATAGATATGTGATGATGAAGTTGTGACAACTGGAATTTCTCAGCTTAAATTCCAGTTCGGGTAAGCACTATCCCCTTTAGCAAATAGTGACATACTAAGCCAACGGTGAGTTCTGAAGTTTGCTACAGATAGGTGAAGGCGGTTCTGCTTTGGGTCTGTAGGGCTCAGTATATTTTAGCCGAGGCTGTTCTGAATTTATGTGCATTTAAGACTACAGAGGGAGCAGTAAATAACTAATTCTTATCCACAACGGATTATAGTTTATTTATTCTTGGTACACCATCTTTATGGACTTGGTTATATTTGATACTAAGAATTTTCACTGCATTTACTGTTTGACAGCCATTACGCCTGTTTGAAAGGAAGTAGGATTGACATTATTTCGTAAATTTCTTATTTTGTTCTTACAGTTAATAAAACAAGTCTTGAATTGTAGAAATAAATTGGAGGTCACGAAGAGTGTTCTTCAAAAGTGTCCCCAGAATTAGTGAAGCCTTGCATTTTCCAATAAATGAAGAGGAAAATTAGGTTATTTTACCGGTGATTTTCTACTTACTGCTAATAGCTTTATCAAGGTAACAGTAAAACATAACATTCAAAATTCTGGCATGTTCGTGTTAACTTAACCAAAGTTTTCCGGTTTGGATCATTTCTGCATTCTCAAGTAAATGAAATGATAACGATAACAGATATGTACAGACTGTTAGGTTATATAACTTTATTAATTATACAGAAAGTATGTGTTTACACAATGAAATGTTCAGAAAGATTTTGTTTTCACTTTCTAAGCAGGCTAAGGTTGTTTGAAGTAGTTTTATAATCTTATCATATTTGTACTAAAAATGCTAGTTTGTGTGAGCAAGGTGTTTGGGCTAAGTCATAATATATCCCTTCCATTTATTTCTTATAAGACAGTTTCAATTTGATTTCAGAAAAAACTTCTGCTGCCCTTGCATGTCATTCGTGATTTCTGAAATTTTCAAGGGACTGTCTGAGATAGCCATGTATTGGAATGCTGATATTGATGTAAGAAATGATGGTGGCAGCGAAATGCTGACCTGATTCTCAAGTGTACCTAGAATTCATCTAGTAGAGCATCGTATCAGTTATTTTTAAGCTAGTTATTTGCTCTTATTTTCTTGTTTCAAAACATTAAATGCTTTAGGGCTTCCACAAATCTTCAGATTTTCACAAATTTTCACTTACTAACTTATTTTCGTCAGCATACATGAATTATTCAATGGTCAGACAGGATTCTGAAAGAAATAGTTTATACAAATGAACTCTGTATCTGATGACACCCAAGGTATTTGTATATCAGATGCTGAATACTGCCCATTATATAATATCCTGTAACGTAAAATAATTTCCCAACCTAAGCTGACATTCGTATATTTGAACCTGTGATCTGAGGAAGGGGCATTCAATTTCCATTTCTGCAAAACTGTTAACATAAATATAATCATAAGAGTACGGTGTTTTGAATACTTAAGTTCAGTATTTGGTATATAATTTTTACACTGTTACTGTAGAGGATTTGGAATGCACCTTGATTTCTAAGGAGGTGATGTCTCTTTGTCCATGATGTTACTTTAACATTTAAAAATTTCATAATTCATATCTATCTTGAATAAATTTCGCTGGTCTGTTGGGAAATATGAATTAGTTGAAAAATCTTAAACAAGGAGGAACTGGATTTATCAAGCGCGATTGTTTGTTGTAAATATAAGAATTTACAGCTCAAACTGATTGTGAAGTTAGAGTTAGGCTTGACCAGAATATGGTTAGAATTCCACAGCAAAAGAAAACTTCTTTCAGCTTTAACCATCATTCAATAAATATAGATCAGCTATTAATTAGTGGTAATCCACTGATTTGTTAATATATTTAGGTATTCTTCTTTTATTCCTTTACGTTCCCACTGGAACATAGGGCTTCTAGCTAGAGCTTTGAAGTTTAAGTATCAGTGGTTTTCTATTTTTGCGAGTGGGATCTCTAGCCTTAAGTTCAAACTTCTCTCTTTACCAGACTTTCTATCGGCTTAATGAGGTTTAGGAGTGAGTCGGCCGACGATTGAATCTCGGACCAGGTATAAAAGATAATATTTAAAATATCTGTATAATTTAATAACCCATAATGATAAAACATTTTCAGCAGTTTAGTATATGAATAAACGGATTTATTAGACTCTGCTGGTTTAGTTAGTCACGGTAAACGCCTGATGAATGATGCAGCTACCTAGGTTTGACTGGACAGATCAACAAGATACATCGCATTGCAAAAATGTTATTCTTCAAGTATACAGTAAACCTTTATAAATACATGAATTTAAGTAAAGGGTTACAGTTTCTGATCACCCATACTGTGTGCTGTATTCTACGATAATTTTTGAGTACTAAACGTTACTTTACTTCAGAAACGTTTCAGCTTGTGTTTGTCTTCAGTTTCTAGAAAGAATATATAGGTAAGAACAGTTTCTGATGTAAGACACGTTGCTACGGTATTCGAATACATTGGAATAAATATGTCCAAATAATATCCATTTATAATCCTATGCCTTTAGAGCGACTTAGCAGCATGTCTTGTGCTGTCTTACATATCATGTCACATCCATTAGTGTATTTTCTGTCTTCATCCATATTCTTGACATTAATATTTGACTTCTACTCAACTTATTATCAATTATTTCAATCACTTCGAATCACTGAAATCTGGAACTCTAAAATGACAAGTGCTACCTATTTCGGGCTTTCGCACACCTACTTGCTTCTAGAATATCCTTGTGACTTTTCTGTACATTCCAAGAAACTTACTGACACATGTAGTAGTTTTCTTTGAACTCCCCATGTATTCATTCACGTAGTATTAATAGTTTACATTTTCTGATTATTTAATTAAAGTATGTGAAAGTTTTGTATATTGATATTGTAATTGTTTTAAGTTGTATAGAGTTGATAAGAACGGACGAAATATAATAATGCCTTGAAATCCTGTTTAGTTTGTTTTTGCATTATTCAAAAAAATGTTTCCATAAAATACTTACTACTTATGAGTAGCCTAAATGCGTACTACATATCTTTTGTACCAAGCGTTGATGATAGGCATGCAGCAAGTTATTAGTTCTAAAGCTTCAATTCATTTCAGTTTGCTGGCACTCAGGTGCACTGGTGTCTCTTTAACATCTCTCCCAAAGTAAAACCCGTTGCACTAATGTAAGCGGAAAAGGTCTCTCTATGTACTCATGAGTGAAATAACGGTGTGAAGATTCATTCAACTACTAACCAAGTTTCATTCAGTATTATTTCATTGAATTATAATGCAGCTACACGTTGGAATAATGGTTTAAAAGTTTCAGAGGTTAATATACAGTATAGGAAAGTTACTTTCAAACATTCACTAGGGTACTCTACATTTACGTGATAACTCAGTAGTTGCCGAATTTGTCACAAAACACTGTCATTAGCATAACTATTTCTGATAAAAGGTTTCAGTGTAGGTCTAAGTAAGTTTATTCACTAATTTGCTTCTCAAAAAAACAGTAAATATTGTAAATTTATGTTGCAGTTGGTTAGGTTAAAACGCCATTAGTAGTCATTGTTTACAGGTTATACATTACAAACTGATTATAGATTCGTAAGTGTTCCGGTTATGTATTTATTAGTGACTAGCAGCGTAATTTAGGACATTAATAGTTTCCTTTTGTGACACATTTTAATGTACTTGCGTCTAATCTAGTGCAACTTGAAACAAACTGCTTATCTTTATATCGTCTGAGAGCTAGCCACCAGCATCTAATGTTGTAGTAGCTATTTTCAAGTATTGGTTTTGTAGGGATTTTTGTTTGATTGCATAGAGGATTTCATCATGAGTGCGAAATGGTCACGCTATGTCGTGTATTGGCAGAAGTTAGAATTCAAGGACCATTGGATTGGGTCCCAGTGGCTCAATGGTCTACGAGTTAGCTCGCCTTGTAACCAGAAGGTCCTTGGTTGGAACCCTGGCGGTGGGTGCGTACTGATGAAGAGTCCCAAACTAGGATGAAACAGCTGTCCAGTACTCCCAGGTTTTCCAGTGGTTCACTAACTGATGTCAGCTCATGATGAAATCCTCCATGTAATAGATATTAACATTTCACTTGTGCGTCGGTGGCACAGCGGTAGAATACTCGCCGACCACGCATGTGGTCCGGGGTTCTATCCTCGGCCGATGCACTCCTTTACCTCATTAAGCCAGCAATAGAGTATGAGGCTATCAACCCCATCCTATAAAAGTAAACACTCCTACAGAAACTTCAAGCCTTTAGCTTGAAGCCCTATGTTCTACTGGGAACGTAAAGGAATGAAAAAAAATTTCAC